CCAGCAACTTTAAAACTATTTTAAAAACAAGACATTATAACAATACCCATTATTGAATAGCTACTTAATTATCTGGGAGGCCAGCCTACATCCTAAACCTTTTTGACAATTCTGTTAACGTTATTTGTATACTGTTAGCAAGCAAATGCAAACTGTAACACTAATTATATTAAACTAACAGGCAATTCATAAATATATCAAGTCGTGGTCTTTGATCCTCTAAAACTGAGTTTTTTCTTGCACCCCTTTTCAAGTAAGACTCCCCCACATAACTTAGCCACTGGCTGACACAGAGAAAATTGACACTGTCAATTTCTATAACACAATTCTAAAAATTTCTTTAACACAATTCTTAGAAATATATTTTTGGACAAATCAAAAAACGGGAGAAATGTTTATCGTAGTTGTCCTAGACAGTAGTTCGTAATTGTCCATCTTTTTCCGATCATGAACGCCTTTAACAGCATAACAGGCATTTGGTAGTGATTAAGCATGAAGAAAGGCCATGGATCACTTGCATCAAATACTGCATCTCTACCATTTATCAAGGTGTAAATGAATTCTCCTATTCCCTGCTGAAAAAGGCCAAGTTTGGCAATTTCATTGTACAACCAATAGACATGTTTTGACGAAGCTGATGGCTCTGATGGCGTTGGTAACTGGAATTGATCTTCCATAGCTCCACGTATGGCTGCTTCAAGATTTGGCTTCATCTGGTAAGAAACCACACATGAGTGAAGACGTGGATTACACTCTATGCAATAAACTTCGCCAGAGTCGTCATCTTCAAGGAAGTCGAGGCAAATACAACCAGTGATTTTCTTGGCTTTACAAAACCCTTCCACCCATTTCTTTATCTCAGGGTGTTTGGTAACATCATAGTCAATTTGCATTGGTGAACAAGGACAGACTTGAAAAGCTTGAAGATTTCCTTTGGAAACAATGGCATTGGCAGCAAATTCTTTTCCTTTTACAAACTGGTGAACCAGATATGGATTGTCACAATTAAGCTTTGATTCATAGTTAGCTAAGAACTTCTCAAATTCAGTAAAGTCGCTTGGTATAGGGGTGAAGTTCAGTCTGTCTTCAGAGTATGGCTTCAGAGGTTTCAAAAAGTAATGTGATTTGGAGTTCAGAAACAGCCCTTTCTTGGCCACCTCACGGACCTCTGCCAAGCTATGTACTTTTTTAAAGTAAGGTACCCTCAGATTTAGGTTGTGGCATTCTTCTAGAAAAAGAAGCTTATCATCAAGAATGGCTGTCAATTTTGGATCATCAAAAGTCAGACATTTGATTTGCGGATTCACCTCGGCAAGACGCTGTTTGATTATTGAGTCAGAAAGGGCTGTTTTTGTATGGCTCACTGGGATGTACCAATCAATCTTCTCTGTCTTTGCAACATTAATCATTCCTTTGATATAAGCCTCATTGCCATCCAGGGAATTTAAATCTGGGACTGTGTAGAACTTTGAAATGAAGCAAGACCATTGTGCAGCAGAACAACCAAATTCTTCTAAGTCAGCCAAAATTACACGATGACCAGCCTTTCCCAGTGTTTTGGCAATATGTAAACCCTTTGTGTGGGCTAATCCTGACACTAACACAGTTCGTCTAAGAGATGCTTCAAGATAGTCATGCTGTTCAGACTTTCTACCAAACAACCAGACACAAGTGGTGAAGATAAAACAGAGTGGCATTGCTGCCATTAACAACATAATACACAGTGCAGCCTTGACTCTGTACCATTGCTTTCCCAGTAGATTGGACAGTGACTGTGGTGAAATCACATTAGAGACTCCAAGCATCTTTTATTTTCCTTTCTTTGAAATATGCTAGAACTTATTAGAGGATAAAACAATAATTGTTTTATCTTTATTTATCTGAAACAAAAAAAACATACTTAATTAACTATGTATTTATACCTCTATCCTTGCTCCCCATAGGCAGTAGATTCCAATATTAATATTTGAAAGTTAAGCCCCATGCTAATGGACACAACATTGTTGGCCAACAACTCCCAGCATCATTGGATGGTACATGTTGCACCTGTTTGGACACCCTGTTGCAAGTTGTTGCCCAACAACTCCCAACATGGGTTTTTTTGTTTCATGTTTTTTTGTTTTATGATCGCCGAGGCATAGCACAACAACGTTGCATCCATTTGCACAGCTCCTTCAACAATAATGGGACCATGCATGCACATTACACATGGTCTCCAAAGTCTTATAGCCTGTATCCCTCCCACAATACACTGCAGGTCAACAAATTGTTGGGAGTTGTTGCATCTGTTTGCACACCACTGTGACTACAGGCCCAACACCTCACAACATTGTTGGCCCACCAATGTTGGCAGTTGTTGTGTCTGTTTGCACACCACTGTGACTGCAGACCCAACAACTCCCAACATTGTTGGCCCACCAATGTTGGGAGTTGTTGCATCTCTTTGCACACCACTGTGACTGCAGACCCAACAACTCCCAACATTGTTGGCCCACCAATGTTGGGAGTTGTTGCGTCTGTTTGCACACCACTGTGACTGCAGACCCAACAACTCCCAACATTGTTGGCCCACCAATGTTGGGAGTTGTTGCGTCTCTTTGCACACCACTGTGACTGCAGACCCAACAACTCCCAACATTGTTGGCCCACCAATGTTGGCAGTTACTTTGTCTGTTTGCATGTAGCTTTAGAAAGTGTTATATACCTGCTGGGTGTCCCCAAACTTACATAGTTCAAGTAACCCCAGCCCCTACCCCTCCATAATTCAGTTATGGCTCTTCCTCTGTCACACAAAGCTCACTGTCCCTTCCATGTAATGCGAGAGTGCTTGTTTCCATATCTCAAACCACCCTCTCCCTTTTCACTTACACTTACATGAAATTTCTAAGTTTCTTGACTCAGTTTCTGTTCAACAAATGTTGTCAAAGTGGAAGTCTCTTTAATTTTAAAGGAAAAAAGAATTTCCATAAATACAAGCAGGATTCGATCACGGAGTACCGGGTCCGCAGTCTCCTCATGTCCTCAGCACTAGACCACCGAGGATCCGCTGCAGGAAACAAGTTTGATTTAAGTACCATAGCGAAAACCCCAACCCTAAATAGAAGCTAACCATTAACCCTAATCAGTCTTTTCAGTGCTTAACCCTAATCAGTATGGTCAGTGCTTAACCCTGATCAGTATTTTCAGTTCTTAACCCTCATCAGTAATATCTGTGCTTAACCCTAATCAGTATTGTCAGGGCTCACTCATAGGTATGAAATTACTTTGTGTAGGCATCACAAGGTATCCAAGGGCGGTTTGAGATATGGAAACAAGTGCTTATGTAATAGGGTTAATTAGCACAACGCCGAAAACCGAATGATTGACTCTGAATTTTAATTGCACTGTACATGTAATTATTAGGGTTCATCAAGTTCCAGTTCATTTTCCCTATTATGATGAACCTAAATGGAACTATATGCTGCTGGTTCATTTAGACGGGAGTCAGTTTTCTTAAGAGATTATTTCAATTTACCGGTACTTAAGCTTTGAGCTGCTCTTCAGGTCACGCGATCAATTTGCAGCATTGACGGGCTATCGGGCATTAAAATATTATGTACACTGCTTGTTAACGCTCACTCTCACGTACCCTACAAAAAGAATAAGACTTACCAAAGAAATTTCGTTTTATGACTGCACTAGCCATTCACGATCTGTAGCTCGTCGAAGCTCGTCGCGTCGTGCAATTAAGGCGTGCAACCGCCTCCTCTAGACCCCATGCCTCGCTCGTTCACTTCAGCCTCGGTAAAAAAAATGGCGGCTGTTCCTGTTGTTTCGACGGCACATTTGCATTTCAATGATGTCTTTTTAAGTACTGACGGACACCTGCTTAGTTACGCGAGCCTGACAACACTATTGATTAATTCAACAATGGAAGGAACACCTTCTGGTATTAAAAGTCGAACGGTAGGCAAGTAAACAAAGGGGATCTCGAAATAGCTCTCTTACATGTGAAAACTCCGTATCACAAAGCGATTTGGACAAGAAATGATATCATCCAACATTGTACTGCAATAATTTATTACTCAGAAAAGCACTGCAGGAGAGCTTTAACAAGTCCAAGCATGTCAATGCAGTGTTTATTAATAAGTTTTCAGTTAAGGGTAGTGCTAATTATTCAGTGGTGGTGCATATTCTGTGGAAGTGCTTGTTCAAGCTTATGCAGTATTCCATGGTTTATTTAGTAAGCTGCAGATCTATTTCTAGAAGACTGCTATTTATGCATTTTACAGCAATGCCGGTTTAGAGTTAATGCCCCCACCACTTAAGAAAATCCCACTAACCTTCAACTGTGCTGACACCATAACAACTGTCAATATTCAAAATTTAGTAATTCATTATAAAAATACTCTATTTTGCTGGTATTCTTGAACTACAGCAATTTAGAAATTTATTGGTGTACTAAATTTAGTGAGATCATGTAAGTCATTGTATTGTTTTTCTCTGTAATTCACAGGTTGATCACACAATAATTCAGTATCTTGTGGATCCTTCAGGAGAATTTGCTGAATATTTTGGACAAAATAAAACAGCAGAAGACATTGCTGCAGGGGTTACAAAGCACATGATTTCATACAAGCTTTCACAGATTCCTACTACAATAATATGATAATGGCCAGCAACTTTAAAACTATTTTAAAAACAAGGTTCAAGTTTATGTTAGCATAAACTGATGTTAATAAACCTGAGAATGATGCCCTATGAAAGCACTCTTATGACATACTAGCAACAATCATGTCTCTGTCCTTATGTCACACAACGTGCAACATTTGGATAAGCTTTTGTACTAAGTAATGGTGGATACTATTTCAAAGTACAAGAAAGAACAATGAATACTAAATAGTTGTTTGATTACAATGTATCCTTCTTCTTTGGCAAAGTCCACTGTAACTTAGCATGATATATTACTAGACTCCTCAAAGGTTTCCTTCATAATATCACATGCTCATCATGCACATGTGCTCCTCTTTTTGCTGTATACTGTCCTTTCCCAGTCAGTTCTCTAAGGGCTTCGGTTCATTCCCAACAGCGTTTTTTCCCTCCCCCCCCCCCC